AGCTGGGGCTTTCCCTGTTGGTCTGCTGTGTGGCCTATCCAAGCCTTGGTTGCTACCTGGAGTAAGAGTGCAACTGAGGCATTGAATCACATCCATGCAACCTCACCCCTCTTGAGGAGCCTGTCACGCCCCATGATTCACACAGGAGTAGAAGTCTCAATACTTCTCAATCCTTATTGTGTTCATAGATTGCTGCCCTACAACCCTCTTTTGGATGAAACAAGCCCTCTTGCTGGGCATGCAGAGGAATTTGCTCAGCATTTATTGGACAACTTGCTTGGATTTGCTTATAGTTGGATGCCAACTTTATTGCAGGTCCAGAGGACATGCCTGGGAAGGAGTTTTGCCCAATTACCCGGGAACAGTGTGAACCTGTTGGATATGAGAAAGAGGACAGGGCCCTTAGGATGTGAGTTCATTCACCTCCTCTTTTGATCTATGTCCCTCCTGGCCTGCTAAAGTGACCAGGGGTGTTATGTGAGTGGGCCTAATAGTGGTTAATGAGAGGATTGTTCCTCTACCTCTTAAAATGCCTTGGTTTTCCCTTTTACAAGAAACTATCACCGGAACTGATCATACTGGGCAATATTCATCCAATATTTAACCTCTCCTTTTGAGGAAGGTGATTGAGAAGGTGGTTGTTAAGCAAGTTCAGAGAACTGTGGAATAAGTGGATTATTTGGATCCTTTTCAGTAAAGATTCAGACCCAACAGCATTAGTTGCACTTTTGGATGATCTCTGGTGTGGTTAGTTGGTGGGTTCGGCATCCATCTTTACCCTACTTGATCTCTCTATAGCTTTCAGTACTATCAATCATGGAATCTTCCTGGATTAGCTCAGAGGATTAAGAGTGGGCAGCTCATAGTATGCTGGTCCACCTCCTTTCTCTCGGTCGATTCTAGTCAGTGATGATTGGAGAAAAGTCCCATCTTTGGCCCCTACTATATGGTGTGCTATAGAGTTTGATGCTCTCTCTCTCCTATTTAACATTCACATGAGACCACTGGGTGACGCCTTGGGGTGAGGTATCAGCCGATGATACCCAATTGTATATCTCTGCCCCTGGTGAATTAAACGATGTCATGAATGTCTTATCCCTGTGCCTGGAGGCTTTAAGAGTCTCTCTCTGTGCCTTGTGGTTTGTATATTTTTAATTTTTAATAATGATTGTTAATATTTTTATAATGATTGTTTTTATGTATTTGTTGCACACTGCCCAAAGTAATTTGTTGTGAGATGGGTAGCCATATACATTTGATGACTAAGTAACAACAAATTTTTGTAAACATGTTGGGACATTTTTTTTAAAATGTTGACCCAAAGTCAACATTTTTTTTACCTTGTTGACCCAAAGTCTTTGAGCAGTTGCTGAAATTTAAGATACAAAATATTGACAATTATTGGTTTAAAAAGAGTGGCAAAACTGCAAAGCAATTCTTAACTCAGTAAATACACTTTTCCATTGGAAGTAACCACAGAATTCCATTGTAGTTGTTCACAGGATTGCTCCCAGCAGAAGATGCTATTTTTGCCTTTTTTCTGTCACTAAGCTACAGGAGATACTTTACAAGAGAGCAAAACTATTAAATGGAAGAGGAAGTCTCAAAGGTCAAACTGATTTAAGGAGGGCAAGCTATTGTTTCTTTACATCAAGTTTGAGGGTCTTCTAAAGAAGCTAAGGAAAAGCTGGCATTGAAACCAACCTGTCAAAGAGAGAATAGGGGGAAAGGGGTTGCATGTGGCCTTAAAGTATTTTTGCCTCTTAAATTATTTCAAGTATTCACACGCAGATTTTTCAAGCAAGGAGTAAAGCTGAGCATGTATAGAGACCACAAGGCAATATATTGAGTGTGAACGTTGACAAAGACATTTGTCAAAAGTCATTAAGAGCAAAAGAAATGCAATTGCTGAAATAATAACCTAGAAGTAAACTGATGAGAGTCACAAAAGAAGGAAAGATAGAGGCCTCAGACTTCCATTATTCCCTCTTTTGCAAATATCCTCATTGTCTGTAAAAACATCCAGCTGATCCTAAAGTAGAAATAACTCCCTGGCAAAGAAGGAGGCACTTCAGTGGGGCATTTGCAGAGCTACACAGGCAGGTGGGAAAAGTTTACTCCTATCCACACCTGCTTAATTTCTCCTTCAAGACTCTCTTCAACGACTTTTTGTAATGCAATGGAGCCTATTTCAGGTTTCTCAATGCTATTGAGAAGGATCGCACACCCTTGCTCAGCCTGAGAGATTTGATGCATGAATATCAATTGCTCACATTCTCTGCAATGGAAAAGATAGCTAGAGAATTTCACATATCCAGTCTGGAGGAAGCTGGACTACAAACTGACTGGTTTGGTCCCGAAGGTCTTACCTCCATGTCTCTCTTTAGTTCTCCCCCAGCAAGTCCACCCTAAAGACATTTTCAGAAATCATGGGCGTTCTGTCACTGGAGGTTTTTAAGAAGAGACTCCAGGGGTGGAGAACCTTGGCTCTTTTATGACTTGTGGACTTCAACTCCCAGAATTCCTGAGCCAGAATGGATGGCTCAGGAATTCTGGGAGTTGAAGTCCACAAGTCATAAAAGAGCCAAGGTTCTCCACCCCTGGGATATTCACTTATCTGAAATGGTATAGGTTCTCCTGCCTGAGCAGGGGGCTGGACTAGAAAACCTCCAACGTCCCTTCCAGCTCTATTCTATTCTAAATTTTGTGGCCTACAGCAAGAGAGACTCTTCCTCCTTCCTGTTCTATGTACAAAATGCAACTGAATCTTACTTCAACATTAGCGTCCTCCTCTATGTCCAAGAACAATTTAACAAACATAGGACAAACTGCAAAGCATACCCAGTTCTATGTTTCAAGACTGCCATGTCAATCCCTGCCTCTTGGGCAACATTCACTACTTCAAATAGTCATCTCATTTTGCCCAATATGAAGCTGGCCCCTGACCCAAGAGGCCTCACACTAACAACCTGGTTTTTCTTAAGAAGTTAAAGGTAAGTCAGGTGGGGATGGAATCATCAACCAGAGATATAGGCAGATCCTTTTATATTTTATAATGTTGAATAATGCTTGACATCAAATCATATCTCTCCAAAATGTAAATGCAGTTCCAAGTGCAGAACTCTTGCTTTTCTTACGTATAAGAAGAACCAAGAAATAATGTATTGGTTTGTTTTTCAAAAAAAGAAAAAGAAAAACCAAGTTAAGAATGGAGTTAATGTTGCAGACAGGAATGACAGACTGAAATTCTGGGGGGGGGGTGGGGTGGAAATGGAAGAGCATTGCAGACATTTTTTAAAGGTGAATAAATAGTATCTCTCCACTGCAGTCCCTAGCTGAGGGCCAGTAATAAAAAAAGGGAGATACAGAGACAAATTAAGATAAAAGAAATCCCTGGCTTAAATCTCGCCTTGGGTTCAAAACCACCAGCAACCTTAGACAAGCTATGCTTCCTGTAAAAGCAATGTAAGCATCTAGTTTTGGCCTGTCTTTGAGGGTCAGCTTGCTGGGGATTATTGACACAGCACATGTGAAGGGCTTCAAAATGGCACAGTTATTACTGGTGAGTTGTTGGGAATGGAACAATCTATTTGTCTTGTTAGTTGCATCCAATTTATAGTGGATGCAGTTACTCTGTATTTTTAGCATCTCTCTGCTAGAACGATCCCATAATCTGCCTCCTTTGCTGCTCCAAGAGAAAAACAAAGGTTAAAAAAGATGGGCAGCAGAGAACTAATGAGATGGGGTTTCAAGGCATTCAAAAAAAAATCTAAAGTGGGTTCCCAGTGGTTAATTCCAACATCCATTAAAAATCCGATTAAATTAAAACACACACGCACACACAGAGAAGCTCAGTCCATCTAACCTAATGAGAGAGAGCACTGCTGGCCAGCAAATGGGTTTCTTTAAATCCCCCATCCCAACTCTCTGGCTTGGCTTTGGCTGAAATCAATCCCTGCAATTTCTGAAGTCCCTTTGAAAGCCTTCATTAACATAAACCCAGCTCCCCACCTTAACCATTTGGAGCATCTAATGCTGCTTCCTGGATTCCACAGCCAGTGAAAAAAACTGGCTTGACTTCTCTGCCTTGTCTCCTCTGCCTTGTGCTCCAAATGCCTGACCAAGAATTTGACCTTTCCTGTCACTCTGGTTTTGGATTTGGAGGTTGGCAGGGGGGGAGGGAGAGAGACAACCTCGTTCTTCTCTCTGCAGGATCAGCTTGCAAACATTTCAAACTTTTGCTGAGGTGTCATTTGGGTCTCATTTCACTAAGTGGGGGACGGGAGGGGGAACTCTTCTGATGCTTCATACCATCCATATTAATTTCCATTCATCTTTTTCTCTGCCAAACTGTGCCCTATTTGCCAGGGTTCAGGTGAATAATCTCCACATTTTGTATTATTCCCCCCCCCTTTCTTTCTCTCTCCAGCTCCTCCTGGATTCGAGAAGGATTTTAATCTTTTTCTGATTTCTCAGGTACTGCAGGAATATGCTAAAACCTGGATGAAATCTCTTTCTGCTCCATATAGCTCATTCCGTCACCATTCATAAAACAACGAGGACAATGGAAGAGGTCACTTCAACTTTGCTTGGGCGATGGTCAGCGTGGTTCCACCCCTCTAACCTGTCCTTTCCTCAACAGAAGCACTGGCTTTCCTCACTGTAGTAAACAGAATAGGTGCAGCGAGACACCTTTCCAGTGGATTCCAGGTGATGATTTTGAGGACAGAGGAATGAAAAGGGGAGTGAGAGGTTGCTGGTAATTTTCCCATAGAACAAGATCAAGTTGTTATCATTTAGTCACCTATTAAATCCAGTGGGAATTACTCTGTGCAGAAAGAAGCATGAAGAATAAAATGATGTAACAAACACTCCTGCTTAAAAAAAAAATAAAGATAGGAGAACCTATCAAAGACTGATACATAGGGAGAGCAAACAATTCAATAGGGATCAGCATCTCAGACACACAAATAAACAGACGAAGAAGAAAAGATACTCACTGCCTTTGACCTGTCCTGCTCCGGAGATCTTTGTCAAGCGTGTGATCAGACAGGCTCTAGGAAGAGAATAGAGCGATCTCTTAAGCAGGGGCAAAAGCCACACAGAGAGAGACAGACACACCTCCCAATTTCCCCCCCCCCCAGTATTCCCCCTGAGCAATAGCTCAGCTGAAAGCTCTGATCATCCCGTCTGCATATCACATTCACAAAACCCTAAAGCAATCTAACTGAGCAGGCTTGAGGTCCGGCACTGCAGAGCCGGCTCACATGTTTCCTGGGTGGGATTTGAGAAGTGTCCACCTGATCAGAGCTTTTGGAAGCATCTTCTTTCATCTTGCTCTTTTCTTCTCCACCTGATAGCAAATCTGTTTGGATTCTGCTAAATGAAGGCTTTGGTCGGAGTATTCACCAAATGCCTGGCAAACATTTGCAGACTGAAGCTGATTCAGACTGAAGTTCTCCTCTCCCAGAAGCATTCCGTGCAATTGTTATCCCAGTCATTAGAATAAAGCATCTTCTTGCAGTGTTTAATGTAAATCCTTGATGGGTTTAGGGTGAGATGGGAGATCCATGGAGATTCTAGGCTGGAGCCAAGCAGAGAAGAATAACATCACTGAGCTTACTTAAACAGCACCAATGCCAGGAAAGTCAAATTGCATCTATTAAATCACAGAGAAGGTTTCTTATTGGGTACCGCTATGTGATAAATGTATAGCCAATTCTTTATAAAAGATAGTCAAATAAAGAGAAATGTGTGAATTCCTCCCCACTTCAGCTTGGTGTTATCTCACATTTCCTTATGCTTCCTCTCACCTGAATATCATCAGCCCAGATCTCCTGCCAGCTTAGGTGCACCTATTTCTCTTCCATGTATGTATGTATGTATGTATGTATGTATTTATTTATTTATTTATCGAGAACTGGAAATAATTTTGATGGTGAGTCTTTGCAGTAAGGGAATTTCCCAAGATTTAGCCTTTTTACAAGGGTTTTCAGTTGGCTATACTCACCCTGCCTACAGTTTGCTTGGTTATTCATTATTTATTTCTGCAATTTATATTAACTCGGTTCTGAGCAGGCTCTGAATATTTAAAATAATGCAAAAGTTAAACACACCATTCATTCATTCTATCCAAGCAATTTCCAGATTTTCTTTCCATTCATTCTATTGGCAGCTGAATTGCTCCTTTTTATATAGAACTTGTACTTTTTCTTCTTGCAGTTGTTCTACTTTCTTTCTTCTTCTGTCACCTTCATTTTTCCATATCTTTTGTATCCTTCACTAATTGCCTCCATTTTTCATAAATGAAATCAAATCAGTCAATTAGATTAATATTAATTAAATTTCCTGGCATATTTATAGAATCATGCTTTAATTGTGTATTCAGTATGTACATTTTTAATGATTAATATTCTTGTTCATTTTGGAGACTCTGGATGTCCCAATTTCCTTTTTTGCACTCTCTCAGCTCATTCCCATCCATCTACTCATGTCACCTGCAGATCTCTGGTTCATCATCACCGCTCACTGGTGCATAGAATGAAACTGTCTCCAGTCTATGGATTACTACTTTCATATGTACCCACAACAAACTAAATGACACTAATTATTCTGTTCTGATATACATTTCTAGTCCTTTCATTTTTTATTGAACCAGAACTTCCACTCCTCTACATGTATTCATCAACCCAATTCCATAATATCAGAGCATCTTCAGTAATGTTTTTATACCCTTCTTTTTTTTATTTCACAATCCATTAATCTTGCTTGCTTGTTTGCTTCCTTTCCCTTTCCCTTTTGCTCTTTGCCATTTACCTCTCTATCATTCCATGTCACAATCCTCCATGTGGATTCATCCATTCATCATTGCTTTGGTCAAGTGAGCCTGTCCCATTATACTCAAGCACACTCATGCTACATCTAAGCAACGTAAGTAACCTAGGAACCCAAACAGAAGTTAAATCAAACCAAGGAAGAAGTGATGGGATTTTGATGGATGAAAAAAGCTAAAAAAAAAAAAAAAGTGCCACACATATCATTGTTATCTAACAAGTTGGGATAATTCAGAACACTCAGTTTCACCCATTGAACTCCCAAGGGGGTGGGGGGAGAGCTAGGCTGGTTTGGTGCAAGCCTGCTACGGTAGTTATCAGTGCCATGTTAGGCTGCTACTTTGCTCTAATGCAGTCAGTGTAAGCCTGTCCCAACTGGACAGCCAGCATAAGCTTTCTGTCCTTTTGGCCCTAGGAGCTTGGCCACCCCTTAGAGCAGGGGTCTCCAATCTCCGGTCCATGGACCAGTACTCGGCTGCAGCATGCCAGCAACCAGACTGTGCAAAAAAGCGAAGCCCCATCCGTGGGATGCAGGCAACACGCCAAACCACACCCCCTCCGGTCCGCAGAAAAACCTTTCTCCATGGAACTGGTTCCTGGTGCCCAAAAGATTGGGGGCCACTGCCCTAGAGGAGCAAGTGTGACAGAGATATCACCACCACCCTATGATAAGTTGGCACCAAAATTTATCCAGTGTGGCTTACCAAAGGAAGATCCATCCAGCAGCTAGCTATTCTCCTGGGTAGCCATTTGGTCCTGTACTGCTATGTAAACTTAATGACCTATTAAGTCAATAAACAATACTCAATCTGGAAACTAATGCAGCATTCAACCCTTACTTCACACCATAGTTTCTTTTCCATTTCTTCTCAGGCTAGAATGACACATGTTCTTATTGCTTTCCCATCCCCTGCCCACAATACCACAAAGCTTCCCTTTCCTCAACTTTGAATTACAAATAAGAACATTGCTCCTTTGTTCCTATCAAGCTGAACTATCAGTTCTTCCTTACTGTAGAGCTTCTGAAGCCTACAGAGGAAGTAGAAAGAAAAGAATAATCTGTTCTGTGTTAGTTTAATTATTGCAGCCTCAGAACAATCAAAGAAAAACAAAAGGATGGAGATGTTATGTTATTTCAGCCCTTTGCTAACTCAGTTAAGGTGATAGAGGTAATACATTTATGTAACTACTAACTGAGCACCAACATGGTGGTGGTGGTAGTGGTGGTGGTGGTGGTGGTGATGGTGATGATGATGATCAGTGCTTTTTTTCTAAAAAAAAAAAAAAAAGGTGCCAGAACTCACACATGTCATACAACCCACCTTGCCTACCCTACAAAAAAGGTGCCGGAACTCCGTTCTGGGCGTTCTATGAGAAAAAAAGCCCTGCTGCTGCTGCTGCTGATGATGATGATATTATCCATTTAGTCATGTCTGACTCTTGGTGATTCTATAGGTCAGATCTCTCCACATCTTCCAATCTTGCACTATTTCTTTTGAGTTTTTTTATGCTCTGTCCGGTGTCAACTTTGATGGTGTGAGCACCAAAGTGGTGTTCTGCAGTTCTGATTGCCACAATATTGCTGTGGCCAGAACTTCTTGGAAAAAAAACAGACAGAATACTGATTGTTGGGCATGCCTTTATCCATCTGAAATGTCCAGCTGTGCTGTGACCCTACCCCATACTGATCACCTGCCTTCACCTCCAACATAATGGCAAACTTAACAAATTTGGCACACCTCACAGCTGTCCCTAGATGCTGACAGCCCGAGCCAGAAAGCACTACTTTAATAATAACCAAAGACAATTTTAGGATGTTACATACATACATGAAGGCTATATCATGGAGACACAGCAAAACAAAAACAAAAAAGATGTCCTAGGACATGCTTGTGCTATGAATAGATATAAGAGGAAAATTTTCAGTCTGTATTCTTCCTTGTTTGCTGCATTGCTTACCCAAAATATCACAACTTGCCCAGATCAAATCTTTACAAGTGACAGCATTGTACCTAATCACAAATGGAGTTATATGGGTATCAGAATCTCAGAATCGCTTTGATAGGGAAGGTAGAGGGCTGTTCTCTGTCGTGACTATTGAGCATTGGCTAGAGAAGTAACCCAAAAAGAGGTCATTAAAAAAAATCATCCTACCATCCCTGGATTATAGAGTGCTTTTAAAAACTGCAGGCTTTGTCAACCACATGTCATTCTTAGAATATAGCTTTGTCTTTGCAGGTTAGGAATAGGAAAGAAATTTGCTTATGGATTAGTCTTTAGGAAATTAGTTTGTTCCAAAAACATATGGCTGTCATCCTGATTTCACTTTGACCTTGATACCCATGTTTTCCCAAAAATAAGATCAGGTCTTATATTAATTTTTGCTCCAAAAGACGCATTAGGGCTTATTTTATGGTTAGGTCTTATTTTCAGGGAAATACAGTACTAAATGTGTCCGTCTGGCTCGGGCTTATTTTGGGGTAGGGCTTATATTACAAGCAGGGCTTTTTTTGTCATAGAACGCCCAGAACTGAACTGGCACCTTTTTTGGATGGAACCTTGTAGGGTAGGCAAGACGGGTTGTATGACATGTGTGAGTTCGGCGCCTTTTTTTTTTTTTTTTACAAAAAAAGCACTGATTACAAGCATCCTAAAAATCATGCTAGGGCTTATTTTCTGGTTAGGTCTTATTTTCAGGGGAACACAGTAGCTAACAATGTTCTGAGAAGGCTATTTCAATAAACTCTTTTTGGGCTCTATGTGACAAAGGTCACCAAAGGGCAAAAACTCACCAGTTATTTTGTCTTCTTCCAATTATGTTGCCCAGTGAAGCTCGTGGATTTTGAGTATTGTGCCCATGGGAGTTGCGCTGAACATCGCAACTGACGTTAAAGCCACCAAAAGGCTCCTCTTGGCTTCTAATCTTATGCATTCTCAGATATCTTGCTCAGCTTCCACAGACAGCCAAGGCAGGATCTTAAATCCGGGCTTCTTCATTCTACCCCAGAACCAGGTAGTGGAAACGTACAGACAGATAACACTGAAATGCAAACAATTGTCTTCTTCCCCCAGGACTCTGTTTACAGTAATACATTCCATTTGGATGACAGCTCTTTGGAAGTGCCCATTTGAGGAGAGTGGCAAGACTCTTATGGAGATAAATGTACTAACTCTGTGTGGGGAGAAAAGAGAGTGTGAACAGAATGGAAAAGCTCAAGTGAAAAGACTGGGATAGATGTCGAGCTGTTCAGCTTAATATTGGCCTCTCCCTGCAGTGTTCAGCTTCTTGTTATTGCTGCTGCTGCTGCTGTCAATTTATCAATGCCACTAGAAGGGAGGGGTGTGTGATGGGAGAAGCTGGTTGTGGGATATCTCCTTTTAAAATACATGGAAGTTGTATAGCAAAATAAATCTTAAACCTACAAACTCTATTCCACCCCCTGCCCCGACTAAAAGACACACACAGGATTATAAGATAATGTACTATTGCTAGCAGGGTTGTCTGAAAGACAAAAAAAATCAAAAGATAAAACTATTCCAACCTATTCTCTCCCCCCCACACACACACACACTGTTGTTTTGTTTGATTGATTGACATTTATGGTTTACCGCCAACAATTTTCACAAT